AATCATAATTTGGGATTTGGGATTTCGGCATTTGGGATTTCGGCATTTGGATTTTGAATTTGGGTGGCAGGTATAGCTCAAGGGACGAACCTATAGGTGATTTTTATAGAAAGCTTATCAAATATGAAAAAATGCTTCACCTTGATGATGAATCAATCAAAGGTCAATTTCTACGAGAGTTGTCTTCAGATTTGAAAGAAGGCGCGGAACGTATTGGTACTGAACAACCATTATCTGATCTTTTTGAAACCCTAGAGAGAATTGAAATGCGAAGAGCAGAGAAAAAATTAGGATTGGTTATCAAGATATTCCAATCTAGTTATAAATCGCCATCTAAATCTCGCGAAAAAGATAATTATTCAAGCAATAGGGGTTTAACTGAAGCTGAAACCAGAAATTTAATAAAATCTATGATGTCATCTCCACAATTCCAACAAACACAGGTTCAACACCCCTAGCAAAGACAACCCAATTTTGACAATTATCCTAGAGTACCAAACAAATATATATCAGAAAGACCTCCAGATGGCTATGGGGTGAATTCTGAAAGGTATATTCATATTGATATCATAAATCCAACCCCTTCAACTAGTCAAATTATGGAATCTCTAGTCAACGATCTTTATAAAAAATTATTAGATAAGTTTTCAAAGAAAAATGGAAGAAGTGCTTCAAAAAATGTCGAAGTTGATTCGGATGAAAAGCTGGCCAATCTCACACAAAGGCAATTAAATTTACATGTGGCTAAAGCCGTTAAAAAAGCTAAGAAAAAATCGTCCCAACACAGGTGCTCAGGATGTCATAGAACCAGTTATTATTCAAATTCTCCTAAATGTCTGAAAAATAAAAAGAAGAGCAGGTCTAAGAAAAAAGGTAGTGTTAATAAGGTTACTCTAGATTCAGGTTCAGATACTAACAATTCTTCTGGTAATGATTCTGGATCTTATTCTAAGACAGGGTCTGATGTTGAGAACACCCCCTCCGAATCTGATTCTGAGAATAACTTTACTGAAAATGACGTCGTGAAAATTATCAATACTGTCAATGCCAAAAAAAAGTAAAACCTAAGGAATCCAAGACTAAGAAGAAATCTAAATCCTGCAAAACGAAACAGAAAGATACTTCCACTTCTGGTAAGTTCCAAAATAAATCGACTGTTATTGGCTGTGCCAGCTTTGCTGATAAGTCTCTTCAGAGGGCTGTATTAGATATGCTTGACGGTATCGCACTTATAGATTGAATAGAGAAGCTCAAAGCCAAGATCGAGAACTTATCCAGATCCTTTAAAGGCGACTCTTTGAGTCATACGCATTCATCTACCAAAAAATCTGATTTCACAAATTTTAGAGAACCAGTTCAAGAAATACCCGATTCAAATGGGAAAGAGGAGACGTTGGATGATCCTATGGAGATTGATTTTGTAAAAAAGGAAGAATCCAATATAAGTATTGTAACTATACCGGTTAAAATCAAATGTTTAAAAATTTCAGCAATGGTAATTGATAGTGGAGCTGAACCTGCAATTATATCAGAAGATATTGTTAAACGTGTAAAATGGCCAATTGATAAGTCAGAAATATATGATCTCAGTGGAACTGTCACTGTTCCAACAGAATCTATTGGCATTATCCGTAATTTACCAATAACATTTCCTCCAGGTTTTACCATACGTGAAGATTATATAGTTGTGAGAACCCCTAAACCAATATTATTATTTCCAAATCCACACCTTAAAAAATACAAATGTGCTATGGATTGGGACAAAGATGAGTTAAAAATTTCTTTTAATGGAAAAGATCACATCATCCCTGTAACTATGATCAAGGTTAAGAACAAGCTCGAAGTAAATTGCGCTACTGTAACTCGGGATGATAAGTCTTTGGTTTCTGATCAAATTTTACAGGAGGTAGATGGGGATGAGGACGATAATATACCATTGGAGGAATGGGACGGTCCTGAAAGATTTAACTTAGATCTTAATGAACCATCATTAAAAAAAAAACGCATGAGCTATGAAGAGTTAGAAAAATTGCTATGAGAGGTACTCAACTCCAGGTTTAAATTAATCGAACTCAATAAAAAATTACGACTTCATAGAAATATGCCTGAAGACTTTTATGAGAAGGTTGTCAATACTGATATAGAAAAGGTGAAGATAGATTAGTTGAAATTTAAAAATCTTTCAAACTCGCGTTCGGCTTCTTCTACTTCTCTGGCTTCACGTTTGATTATAGTATACATGTCATCTTTTCCTCCTACTTTTTTTATTAGTTTATTGACCGTGTCAACCCCATTGATAACATGTGCCTTGAGTTGGAAACTCGTGGCTCTGCCACTGGCACTAGTTCTACTATTAGGTAAGTCAGAAATTTGAACAAATTTAGATCTCAGTTTTCTATTTTTAACCCGCTTATCAGAAGTAGCATTAGGATCTAGATGTAGGCTCGAAGAACCATTGCTTTACAGCACACAGGGTGTGGTGTCTCTGACACATAAAATATCTTTGTTAATTTGATGCGTTTCAAACACTGAAGTCTGACCATTAGAATTTTCAACCATACTAGCTTGGTTAATATCTGGTAAGTGCGATTCAGGTATAGATAAATCCTGATTTTGGGATGCTACTGGATCTGATACAGGCTGATACCATTCTACCATATCAACTTCTTGCCCTCTCCAAATTCTATAAAAACGGTCATTCGTCATAGGGTATTTTTTTCTTAATTCCTTTAAAATCTCAATTTTGAGTTTTGCATTATGATATTGCATAATAAATTTATAATCTTTTGATGATAATGGAACTGTATTAGATCGCATACGTGTACGTTTAACCATGTTAATATTTTTGCTTTGTAAGAATATAGTACCTATAATATCCATAATATATATATTTTTTTTAAATTATTTATACTACGCATAGTATCCATAATTAGTATGCATAATATTTATAATATAGATAACTAGTACAGGTAGTATGTATAGTACACATAGTACATAAAGTACACTTAGTATACATAGTACGTGTAGTGCACATAGTATATGAAGTATGTATAGTACGTATCTTGCACGATTTATCTGTAATTTTTTATTTTATATATATTATTGCTAATGTACATAAATGGGGAACGAAACTGTGAGAAAGAAATACATCGTATCCTCCAATCCTTTTCTAAATTACGTGATTATAATAGTATGTTGCAAGATAAATGTATAAAACAAGATGAGAATTTTGATCAAGAAAGAAAGGGGTGGGATCAAGAAAGAAAGGGATGGGATCGGGATATAAAAAAGTTGAGTAAAAAACTAGGAGGGCTTGTTACCGAGAATCGAAACCTGCAGTTTGAAAATACTAGTAAAGCTATTTCTCTCGTTAATTCTGAATCCGAGATTACTATAAAATCAAAGGAAATTACAACACTTCGGTCCATGAAAAAATATTAGAAGGTGAGTTGAGTTCAGCTCAAGAAGATGTATTTACGTCTCAGGAAGACTCATTAAAAAAAAAATCTGAGATCATATCTCTCAAGTCTGAATTGACGAATACAAAGAATAAATTAGCCTCAAAGGTCAATGAACTCGAGTACCTGAAATTGAAAATTATATCAAAACCTATAATTACTGAAGGTGGCGAGGGACAGAGCCTTATTCTTTCCACAATAGCGGAGCAGATGTCTTTGACATCAAAAAATACGCAGAGCGGGGAACAAAGTCCCCTATCAAATTCTAGTAGAGACATAGCCCCATTGCAAAGCAATAATATCTCTGCAATTAATAAAGATATTAACAGTCTCAGGTCATATCTAGTACGCAGAAAAAGTATGTATCAAGATGAAAAAATCGATACTATTATGCCGGACTATACTGATGATGAAAGTACTTCTATATCCGAGGATTCAGTGATTCTAAGCTATGTATCACTACCAAAACTCGATACTGAGAGTACTACCAAAGTAAGTGATGAAACTAATAAAGATAATATACTAGATGCATGGATAAAACCTGATGTATCATCAATTACACCAGAGAATGTGATCTCGCACCTTGCGCAAGAAAACCACACTCCCTCTCTAATTAAATTATATCCATAGATTTCAGTAGGAGGAATAAAAGCAACTCCTGTTGTAGCAAGTGATTTAATGTCACCATTATCGGCATATATATTACTTATCTTACTGATTATTGCTGTTATATGGTTTGTGATATTTAGACGTGAATGGGGCATAGGTAAAAAAAGTGAGTAGTTGCGGGATATGTGGATCGGATAACTAAGACTATCTATTTGAACTTGAATATTATTCGTATACAAAAATATAATAGTTTTTAATCATGTCTAGTATTTGTTGCAGTTGTAAGGAAATATCATTACCATTGTATACAGATTGCATTGTTACACATTCCTTTATGGTGGTAGGGATGAGGTTTCGCAGTGGACATAAATTTAAGAAATCAGATATCATTACTCTTGAACTGGAGCCTTCTAATACATATGATAAAAATGTGATAAAAGTTATGGTGAATGATATTCATAAAGCCTATGTGGCAAAGAATGAGAATGTGAGTATAGAAGATTTGATGAAAAAATACTCAAATTATCAGATCACTGCTCATGGGAAAAAGAACTATAATCAATTGGCGTCTTTAAACCTTGAATATTCTTGGATGGTCTGTGAAAAATGTCGTGATATGCTACAAGCATTGAGGGATTACGACTATAGTTATTGTTGAATATAATTTGAAGTTAGGTATTATTTATGTACGAAAAAATATTATTAATAATGTATAGGTATCTTAGTGGAATCTGATAATTCTAATCAAGATCACTTAACAATATAGGTCAACAATCTCGTTAATATCTGCTTCCAATGGGTTGTCTTTTTTACTGTTCTGCATAATAGATAATGCTTGAAGACATGCAATCTTAAGGCCAATTACCTTGTACCATGTATTCCAGAAATCTATTAATACCTCACACTCTGATTCCAGATTAAATCGAAATATATATTCTTCCAAAATCATAATATCGGGCTTGTATTTCTGTGCCTGCACAATTAATTCGTATATCGCATTTCTATAATTCACATTAAGCTTAGACAATTTTGAAAGTAAATCTGATAATTTCGAACGAGTAGAACCCGCAATCCTATCTAATGCATTAAGGTAATCATTATATCTCGTAGAGATGCCTGAAGGCCTAGTCATGTCAGCTTCACTAATGCCAGAACATATTTTTTCAGCATGAGTGGTGGCATCTTTTCATAAATAGGAGATAATGGTTTCATCTTTTTTCAGACCATCTTGCAAATCTTTGATATATTTTTTTATCCATTTCTCAGCTGATTTCTGTGCCAAGGTATCCTTTGCTATCCAGAGTTCATCTGAATCTGTAATATTTTTCAAGGATTCGGAATCGGGTTGTGGTTCAAAACATTTACTATTATTTATAAACCGGGCACAAAGACCAACTATGCTTTTTAGATAATAATTGATATCTATCTTTTTGTTAAATTTTTTTACCATATCAGGGTATTCCATACGATCCCCACTTTCTCTGATACCACCTCCACTACTATATATTCAAAACGCTCCCCGGGTTCTAGGATATTATATATATATGGATTGGGCGATAGTCCCTGTTTTATAAGCTGTTGGAATTCTATCATCTCGCGAGCGTGCTTAGATTTCATTTGAGAGATAAAACATTGAACACTTTTATTATTTTTATCAGGCTTCCATGCAGATGTTTTTACACATTCATTTATATCGACTTGGAATAAGTTATCTACAGTACTTTTAAGAGCGTCTTCGACAATTTGTTGCATTGTTCTATTGTTATTAATTTCCATAGATTGTTGCATAATGTTTCTACCTACTTTGCGGATAAACTTAGATTGTCCCCATTTCACAATATCAACACCCTTAATAAAAAGCTTTTCAAAATCTGGGTCAAAGTTAGGCTCTTTTATATGTTGAATATCATAATATTTTTTCTTACCTGTAAATACTACGGGAAATAAGACTTCCTCATATGCCAT